CTTGATTTTGTCACAGATGTGTGTACACTCCCCCAACCTTCTTATCATTATCAAACTGTAATGGCAGGTGGATCTTGACAGGACAAACTGCGCTTAGGCTCCCCGACCTTTCCAGGCATCCGTCCCCTTTGAACAGCTGTACTGCACACAGAGCTCAAAGAAGACAAAGAGCACTGACCAAGGAGCCAGGACCCCAAGTTCCAATCTCTCCACTGAATACAATTTACTGTTGACCTTGGGCACACCAGGACTAGATGACACCGGGAGGTACCCAGGCTGCGGAAGGTTAGGAGGTATGGCTGTCTCTCCAGTTCCAGCTGTTTCCCTAAACTTTACCTGAGCAGTAGTTGGTCATTCCGGAGATGCCTAAAGGTCCCACCAGCGCCAGGTATAGTGAAGTCACTGAATTCCCCAAATTGGGAAGTGACATAAGTAGGAACAAGATCTTCAAACCTGCACATACGGATTATCTAAAGGCCCACGGGATCTCCACACTATTGAACTTGTACCTGGATGTGTTTTCTTGATATCCCTAGTCTGGCTTTGTTTGTTTGTTTGTTTGCTTGCTTGTTTATCTATTTTCTGATAATTATCTACTGAAATTCTTACTCTGGGGTGATAATGTCTGAAAATACCTTTTTACCCTCATAAGCTCCAGAAAGAATCACTACATATTTTACTAACAAAGCTTTCTTGGTGTATGTGTGGCTGCACCTGTGTGTGTACCCACAAGCGAAGATCAAATGACAACTTCGGGTGTCGTTCCGCAAGCGACAGTCATCTTTTGTTTTTGAGATGTTTTGAGATGGAGTCTCTGGCTTGGGCACTCCAAACAGGCCAGGCTGGCTGGCCAACAAGCCCCAAGGATGCACCTGTCTCTGCCACCCCGCCCCCACACCCTGTGCTGGGATTACAAGTGGATGTCTCAAGGTCCAGCTTTTCAAAGCCCGAGTTCTGGGGTTCAAACTCAAGTCCTCATGCTGAAAAGCAGGCGTTTTTATCTCCTGGACCACCCCCACTGTCTCACGGTGTGTCACTTGTATGTCCTTAAACTCTTTGCTGTTGCATTTCATTCACAAAGGCATGCTGGTCAGGGAGAAGCCTGGTCTACCGAGACCTAGCGGGCCATTTTCAACTTAGTTGGCAGGGGCTGGAAACCAGCCCACAGTATCCTGAGCAGAGGCAGCTCAGAATGTGGTGGTGTCCCTTGCAGCTACTGCACAACACAACTTCCTTGGTGGAAAAAAAAATTATGAATTGCAAAATGTGCAGGACAGGCGGAAGTGAACGACCCGGGTCATCCCTGGAGTAATGAGGAGAGGTCTCACTCATAGAAAGATGCCTGTGCTCCCCAATTAAAAACTTTACCTGCCATAGCACATCTGTAGTTGTGTGTGTGTGTGTGTGTGTGTGTGTGTAAAACAAAGCCTCCAAGCTGCTGAGTGCCAGAAACGGCAGAAGTGAGACTATACCATCCCTGCAATTACAGTGTTACTATGTGAAAAATAGATTTTGTGAGTTTGACTTACCTTACACTTCTACGAGGGGCCTTGTACTTTGAGGGGGCGGTTAGCTGGGTAAAGGGAACATGCTGGGCAGTTTGGGGAGCTAGTGGGAAGGTCTGACAAGAGGCACTGACAGCTTGCCGGCCTCAGCTCTTAGAGAACAGTTCATACCACCCTGGAGCACACAGTGGTCCAGGGGAGCTTAACACCTCAAGCTTTGGCGACATGGACTAGTGAGGCAGCTTGGTATAGTGGCCACAGAGGCTGGCCTGCTCATTGCTTGGTAGTTCGTTGGCTTCTTTGAGGTGGACTACTGTAAAAGGAACATGATGGGAACAGCAGCTTCCTGGAGGGGCTGAGAACATGCATATATTTAATGTGAGGAAGTGTCATGGTGGTGGACACACCGGCTATGGTGGTGGGCACACTGGCTATGGTGGTGGGCTGGACGAACTGCCAGCTCTGGTCATTTCTCCATTCCTCCTCCTCTGTGAGGATGTGCCAGCCTTGAGAAGTTTCGCTACACTTTCTCCTTGCTCTCCTTTCTGCTGACTAGGAAGCAGAGGGTGGCATCACCTTTCCCTGTTCACTACACCCTGAGCTGAACTACACCCATTGGGGATAGCCAACATGGAGGAGAACATAGTACCTTTCACTCTTTCCTCTCCTGGCCCCAGATCACAATCTCCTCACTGTCTGCTGTTCCCTCTCAGACTCACCTTTTTGAGTTCACATTCTATGTAATGGATGAAACCAACTTTTCAGTGCAAAGGAAATTTATGGTATTTCCAACCATAAGTAAGATGGGAAAAAGTACATTACCAAGTGTGCAATATTCCCTGAGTGGTAGATACCTCAGACTTTTCTTAAGACAAATAATCTCTAGAACTTTCTGTGAGATAAGCACACTGCATTCCTTGTTTCCTATCACACACTACATAATGTCACAGTACATCTGAACAATAATAGTTTTCTTAATGTGCAAACTATTATTTTTCAGGATCCTAAAATTAACCTTTTTATGGATAATGTATTTTGAACATCTTTACATCTGAAAAAATTAGTATGTAATGCCTCCACTTAGTCCCTGTCCATTGTTTCATTGACAAGATTCCTGATGGTGCCTAACTTTTGGTAACAGATGTGTTATAAAATGTCAATGTGGAGATGATGTTTGGAAGGTCTGGGGTGGGGAGGGGAGGCTCCTTAAATGGAGATGTCAACTCCAGCCAATTTCAGAATGGCTCACCATTAAGATGGATGTTTTCAAAGCCCCGTGCCTCTGCTGGAAATTTAAAAAGCCACGGAATAACTGATTATGATTAATTTTAAGTGCTTAGCCATGTGAAGCCAAATGAGCATCTTTTAAACAAAGCTATTGATCTGGCATTGTTTGGAATTGAGAAGATAAACGAGTCAGATCCTAAGGGCCTGTTGCAATGAGGAGCAATGAGAAGTCAGTGTTACTTTTATTACTGTTATTATTATTGTGGTCATGGGTTTCCAGGTTTTAACTTAGCAACACCCAATATATCTGGGTATCACTCCCCCCCCCAGTAAATACATGAGTATAGAGGAGTTGTCCAAATATGTCCTGAGCCAGAGTTTTGACCGGGATGAAGGCACACTAGGGAGAAAGATGTGGAAAGGACAACATTTAGAGTCTCTCCTGTGTGGCCCCTTCTCAAAGGTGAGGAAGACAAAGGTGAGAGGTCACAAAACTTGACCTACGTCCATGGCTTCCTGGTTCCCACCCATGTGAGTCTATCCTTAATGCCCCTTTCCCCCCCAAACTCTCAGACATCTGTCATAGAGAGCTAACCAAGGGGCTGACAGGTCATCACAGCTGTTTTGTGGCAGCTGTGACTTCCATTTCTTCAAAGGAAATTTCTCATCTTTCTCATTCTCCTTCGCAAGGAGTAAAACGGTGACAGGCTCCTAATAGACTTTTCTATGGAGGTTTTTTGAAGGCAGAGAGAACCATGCCTCTCTTTTCAACTCTAGTTTCCCAGGAAGAGAAGTCCTGGGTTGCTAAATTTGAGCTGGCACACTCTCCCACAGACATGCAATTGTTGCCGGTTCTGAGGTCAGAGTTTGGGTGAGGAGAGGCCATCCATCTCAGGACTGACAATCTGACCTCTCCTGTCTATGGGACCTGCCTTTTCTATGCCAGGAATCTCAGCTTGCAGCCGATTTCAAACAGCTGTTGCAGCATCAGCATCCCCTGTATTTCCCGTGATTCCTCCTAGAATCACCTTCCTCCCTAGCAAGGTGGAGGGGATCTTGCTAACCCACTGCTGGTGTCTTCCAGATGAAAAGGAAGAATGTACACGTTCCTTTATGTGCAAAGGGATATTTTAATACATTCATTCATTTATTGACCATTCATTCTTCCACCGCAAACAGACACAGGTTTAACTATGTAACACCCCCTTCCCCCAAGAATGCTCAACTCACCCTATTCTCTTATCACTCCGAAGCTAGAACTGCTTGGATGTAATTCTTTTTACAGATTCTGGAGAGGGCAAGTCACTCTCAAGTTAGAGCAATCAACTCCTTTATTTCACAAAAGAGAAAACTGAGGCTCTGAGAGCCAAAGAGACTTGCCCAAGGTCACATGGCTAATTAGTGGTAAGAAAGGACTGAATGGCACAGCCCCTGACCTAAGTTCTACTATGCTTTCTTGCTTCCTCTACAGGCTTCCCCACATCAAGGACAGCGGGCAGTGCACCTGCTGGGGAGAACAATCAAACTGTTTTCTAACACAATCCAACTTTAGTCGAATGACCCCAACATGACCCCTCAGTGACTTTTTCTCCAGAAAGCAGGTTTCTTTAGTTAGAGCCCATGAAAATCCAAGACACAGGAGGACAGTCTTGTTTGTGTATGTGTCTGTTTCTACACATGTGGGATTTCAAGGAGGGGTCATCTCCCTCATCTTTTCATCCCCGCTACTTTAAGGTTACTATTTAAAGTTGGATTTTAAGCCTGAGATTAGACTTCAGGAGCAGTAGCAATTGCTGGACCGTATCAGTCTATCTGTCATTCATTCCCCCTTGTCCTGTGCCAAGGTCCCTCCCTGCTTCTGGCTAATTCCGACTCACCTTCTGGCGATAACCCCTCTGTCACTGGCCACAGACCTGTAACCTGTCTCCCTGTATGCCCACACTCAGACAGCCACTCCCTGAATACACAGACAGATGCTGGGGGGCTATTCTTGCCATCTGCTCCAACAAATACAGCGGGAGCATGGGAGACACGGCTTGACTGAGGAACCCCAGTTTGTGAGAGGTGAGAAATCACACTTTGCAGCCTACAAACACTTTGGCCAAGGTAAGCCGGAGGGATCTCCCGTTGCCCGATTTTAATAGCATTGCAGTAGAAGACCCAGAAATGCACCCCCAAGGACCCCCCTGCACACACGCTCCCTCTTTCTCCTCTCTGCACAATGTACACTCTCTCTCACACAAGGCAGCAATCGCAAAATCAACTCACAGGATCTCCAAATCGCGCAGCGCTCGGAAGGCTCCATCTTCAATGCAGCTGATGTGGTTATTGTCCAGTTGCCTGTGGGAAAGCAAGGGAGAGCATGAAGGCTGAGCAGGGGCAGCGGCGAGGGGCTGGGCGGCTAGTCGGCATCCCCGGCCACCAAGCCTGTCCCTCCACCCCTTGCAGGCTCTGCTTGTCCCTGCCAGGAGCTCCTGCAGAGCCAGCCTGTCTGCCACGCTGCTCCGTCTCTTCTCTCTGACTGTCTGAGGGAACTACACAGGCGAGCGCACCAAAGGCTGTCAGGTCTCAGTAAATATTAATTGCGCATTTTTTTTTTAGGCAGAAGGGAGTAATTTCATTACATTAGGGCATCCAATCCATTACGAGCTCTTACCGTCATGTCACTGAAACAATTTCATTAAGCTAAAGGCCTGTAAATCATTGGAGGTCACTGCTCTGCCCTCCGCGACCTCCCAGAATGCTTTTTTTCCTTCTCCCTCGTCTCCCTTTTACTGGAAGTTACAGTCTTTGCTTTGACACAGCGCTAAATCTCAAGGCTTTATCTGCCCAAGAGCGGTGAGGGTGCGTGGGGAATATACCGATTCCAAATTAGACTCAACTAATCTAATTTTATAGTCTTTTTATTATTCTAAGCACCAAATGTCTGTGGTGGTTTGTTGTCTCCGTGCATTGTTATGGGGCCCATCTGGTAGGTCATTCTATGGGAACATTTTCTGAATAAATACAGATTCCCTCAAACTGCACTAACCATCATCAACATTAAAGAAATCCATTGATGGAAGTGTTTGTAGTGAAGGAGAAAAAGGAATATCATTATTGCCTAAAAGATGCACCACTTACATTTAAATTGGGCAGAATTAAATGCACCCATTTTAGGATTCCTTTTTAATTTCCCCTTCCCGTCCTAAATGCAGGAAAATAATGTATTTCTAAAAGATGTCTTGACTAATAGACATCCCAGTTGAGGACTGAGGGATTTTAGTGGAGAAGTAATATATATATACATACACACACACACCATTTCTTTTTCTGAGCCAAAAATGTGTATTATTTGATACATAGTAAATCAGGGTATTTATTACTATGACCACACCCAACTTATACTCTATATAATACATTTAATTCCTAAAATGGCAATGGACAGAAAAGAATGTTGTACAGAAAATGACTATTACTACCTAATAATCTACTGTCCTTTGCAGAGGACACAACTGTTGGAGCAAGCTGAGGCTGTACTTAAAACTTTTTCCATGGACACTCATATGAAATTTAAAAAATGAGCCCTTTTCAGGAGGGTCATTTCCTATGGCTGGTATTTTGATTTGTAACTTCCATTAATATATGCCAAATAAGTTCTCCAGAAACACAATCAAAGTAACATTTGGTAATGCGCACAGAGGGCTTTATTCCATTTTTTTAACCAGAGGAAGATAGAATTGAAACTAAAATAGTATTATCATTGCAGAAGTATATGGATGTAGACCTATAAGCATATACAAGTTTCTGTGCTGTTTCAGGTCCTGCAAGATATTATGAAACTGCATCACCCAGATAGACAGTCACCACAGTGCAAAGTTTAAAATAAATACTGTCCAGCATTGAAAGTAACCAAGACACAGGTCTCAGAAAGCAGAAGCATTCTTTAGGTTGATCAGTTGTACACCTAGTGTTCTAAGTCCTAGCTAATTTTGGTGCACATGGACTTACTGGGTTCTTCAGTCCCTGATCTTTCTGGAGCTCCTCTTTACATGATTTTGCAGATTTCTTTGGAACTATTCTGGGTCAGTCACTTTCTGGGCAGTGGTTCTATTAGGGCAGTCTAGTCTTGCTGCCCAGCTTCCAGATTTATCATCAATTTAAAGGCAGATGAATCAACAACCTCTGCTCCACATCAAGGCCACCAAACCTTACCAAGCAGAAACTTGGCGGGGCTGGCTTTGGGCTCCAAGAAATTGTTCAACAAACATGCTGATTTCGGCAAAAATGCACCATCCGCCTAAGTAGAAAAAGTATCTAAATCATCAAACTGGAAAGTCTTGGGTGTGGGGAGATGGCAATTTGTGGTGAACCTGCTCGTGAGTGTGCAACCCAGGGAGGTCCTTGAAATTCTAGCACATTGCAAGCAGATGGATTCGTGGAGTGTTTTCCATTCCTTTTCTTTTTGAGGGCATGAGGAACCAAAGAGGAGAGTCTCAACATACAGATTTTCCCCATGGGGGAAAATGGAATCTTCAGGAGCAAAGAGAACATAGAGTGGTGGGAAGAGAATTAAAAGTTTGGGGAGAGGGGCTAAAATGATTTATAAAAACCTGCGATCAATGTCATATCAGTCTCCTGAAGCCCAGACCATGAAATGATGTGGACAACAGGACCATGATCACTTAAGACAAAATCAGAGAGGCCAAATACATTATTGATTGTGTGATGTTTAAGTATTTTCAGCGGGAGGAACAAATTGACACCTATTTGTTTATTCATAAGAGGGAAAACTGAGATGTAATGTAAGCATCTCTGTGGCTGTATTTCATAGCTTACTTTAGCACACACGAAATGGATCAAAATTTAAAATATTTATGCTTAAGTTTGCTTGTCCAGAAGATGTTTATTGTAATGGAGATGGTGTCTTTTCATTCTAACCATACAGAAACAAAACAGGACCTGTATCCCAGCCTCGATAGTCAGAGGCCAGACTCAAGATGCACTGGTATGAGGTCTACATGGGTGCTCTGTCTGTCAGTGGTTGTCAGGTGAGTGGAGACCACAGTACCAACTCTGCTTCCCCACCAATACAGTTTTGTAGAGCCAAGCATCACAGGAGTCACAAAAGTCCAATTAACTGTTCACAGTCACTCCTGTTGTTTCATGTAAACACTGGGTCCCCAAACAAAAGGAGCAGTTTCCTGTTCAGACAGATGTCTTTTCTTTTACACTTACTTATTTATTCAAGGGAGGAGGTATGGAGATTAGAGGGCAACCTGAGTAACTTGCATCTCTCCTTCCACTATGTAAGCTCCAGGGACTGAACTTTGGTCATCAGGCTTGGTGGCAAGCATCTTTACCCAAGGAATCATCTCATCGTCGTCTCTAGATTACCTTTCCTTTCCAAATAACAACTCAGAGACATCAAAGTCTAAAGCACACAAGAGGGGATGCACAAAAAAAGAAAGAAAAGACAAAAAGAAAAAAGAAAAAGGCAAGCTCAGCAATTCTTTGTCAGCACTGGACTAATAAACACACAGAGAATCTTCTGGTAGCTGAAGCCAAAGCATTTGATTTAGTGGTTTGCTTCTGAGGGTTTGGTATGGAGGCTGCTCATGTGTATTCTAAAAACTCGGGTCAGAGGTCTGTATCATGCCTTTGAAAACAATTTATTGAAAGATGTTCTTAAAAACAAATGGGAAAAGCCCATTGCATACTCCATGCCAAGCACACCATCACTTATGGGCAAAAAGAACTTTGGAAATGTGAACAGAAAGCTTCCAGGAACTGGGCATGCCTTGCTTTGCCCCTGTTCTTCCTGAATGGCGAGAATTGGATTTCTCATCGATGGTAACCTTATTTAGCACAAGTCCATGGAAGAAAGTGCTAAGCCATGAGACACACAGTCCTGACTGCTGCCCTGTGGCCCTTGTTATGACAAGAGAGAATGCTTCTGAGTCCATACAGAGCCTGTCCCAGAGGGGATCCCCAGAAGGAGATAGTATTAGATTTCTATGGTCTTCCTAGGAAGTCTAGGATGGCAGTGGTTGGACAAGCAAAAGCCGCTCTCTTTCTTTTTCTTTTTGGAGGTAACTTATTGTCTTCTATTTTATACAGAACAGCTAATTTGATTTGCACTCCTCTGTCTCTGAATAAGTTGAGAACCCCCCAAAACATTTCATGATATTAAATTAATCGCCCTAATTTCCCTAGGAAGCTTTGATTCTGGCAAACAATATGACTGCTAAAATGATCCCAGAGCCCATTTAGAAAGAAATCCTCAAACAAGAACTAAGTGCAGACTCCCTGAGAGTAGTGTTCTGACTATTGCTCTTCCATAGTCCATGAAAATAAACAAGTCGGAAAGGAAAGCCAGCACAAGTGGGGACTTAAAGTAATCTCTTTGTACAGCAGACTAGGTGATAGCACATCTCTGATCCTAAGTGTAATATACTTCAAATTATCACAACTTGTTTCTTTTGCCTGCAGTTTCAATCTTCATAACTGGAGCAGGAGAGAAACATTTTGCAGTTCAAAACTTTTTACAAAGCATGTGTAAATCCTTAAAAGAGGTGGGAGTTAGAAAAAGCTGGTTTACACATTAACACCAATCCACCCCACAACTACTACCACAGAAAGTAAAAAGAAAAAAAAAACCCAAAGAGTAAGAAGATTCCAAGACTCTAATGATGCATGTGAGTCCCCATAAGAAATACCTGGTAAACAGAAATCTCCAGAAACAGGCTTCGGTTATTTGAAATAGGAGACTAATTTCCAACAGAATCCCCTATGCACACGTAAGGTCTGCACACCCCGGCTAACCCTGCCATTGGCAGTGGTGGGGGAGTCCCAGCATCTTGTCCAATGGTTGGGGAAACTTAGCCCAAAGGCATCATCACTCCAGGAACCCCAAGCAGCAGCAGCAGCAGCAGCAGCAGCAGCAGCAGCAGCAGCAGCAGTTCTGCTTCTGAACTACAGCTAGTGTCGCTGTAGTCCTCCTTGTGTGAAGGGAAAGGAGTGGCTGAGGCTGAGCATCACACCATTTGCTATTTTCTGACAAAACTATCTTCACAAAGAATATGAAATCAGCAGAGGACCTCTGTCCAAAATTCACAAGGGATGCCTTAGTAGAGAGTCAAACAAGTCTGTGGCCATGGACTAGAGTAAGTTTAGAATAGTCACAGTGTATTAACAGAAGTTCACACTGCATTAGGTAACCAGGATACAGAATGAAGTATAAGATAGCCTTTGAAAATAGAAAGATGGTTACCTTATGTGTGGTTTTCGTATGCTAACCATCTTTACTGTATAATTCTAAAAAATCCCAACTATTTTGAATTCATTTGTGTGTGTGTGTG